TGAAGTCAAACTGTCTCTATTTGCAGAAGACATGATACTATATATAGAAAAACCTAAAGACTCTATCAAAAAAACTCCTAGAGCTGGTTAATAATTTCAGTAACATTGCAGGTTACAAAAAAAAATGTCCCCAAATCAGTTGCATTTATATACTCAAATAAGGAACTAACAGAAAGAGAAATAAAGAAAGTAAGCCCATTTACTATTGTCACAAAAAAAATAAAATACTTAGGGATCAATTTAACCAAGGAGGTGAAAGATCTGTACAATGAGAACTACAAACCACTACTGGAAGAAATTAAAGAAGACACAAAAAGATGGAAAGATATCCCATGTTCTTGAATTGGAAGAATTAACATTGTGAAAATGTCTATACTACCCAAAGCAATCTACAGATTCAATGCAATCCCCATCAAAATACCAATGTTATTCTTCAGAGAAATGGAAAAAATAATCCTAACTTTCATATGGAACCAAAGACCCTGAATAGCCAAAATAATCTTGAGCAAAAAAAGCCAGAGGCATAACACTACCTGACTTCAAATTATACTACAAAGCTATTGTAAGCAAAACAGCATGTACTGGCATAAAAATAGACACTCAGACTAGTGGCCCAGAATTGACAACCCAGAAATCACCCCACAGGCTTACAGCCATCTGATACTGGACAAACCAACAAAAGTCTACATTGGGGAAAAGACTACCTCTTCAACAAGTGGTGCTAGGAAAGTTGGATATCCATGTGCAAAAGAATGAAAATAGATATGGACTGCTCATCATATACTAAAATCAACTCAAAATGGATTAAAGAGTTAAGTAGAAGACCTGAAACTGTAAAATTACTAAGAGAAAATACAGGTGAAACACTTCAGTAAATATGACTGGGCACAGACTTTATGAACATGAGCCCAAAGGCACAAGCAGTAAAAGAAAAAATAAACAAATGGGACTATATCAAACTAAAAAGCTTCTAAACAGCAAAGGAAACAATCAACAGAGTGAATCGACAACCTACAGACTGGGAAAAATTTTCCTAGCTATACAACTGACAAGGTATTAATATCCATAATATACAAGGAACTCAAACAGTTGCATAGTAAAAAAACAAATAACCCAAGTAAAAAATGGGCAAAGGAGCTGAATAGACACTTTTCAAAGGAAGACATACAAATGGCCAACAGGTATGTGAAAAAATGCTCAACATCACTAGTCATTAGGGAAATGCAAATTAAAACTACATTGAAATACCACCTCACCCCAGTTAGACTGGCTATAATAAAAAAGAGAGTGAATAACAAATGCCAGCAAGGGTGTGGGGAGAAGGGAACACTCCTACACTGTTGGTGGGACTGTAAATTAGTACAACCACTATGGAAAACAGTGTGGAGCTTTCTCAAACAACTACAAATAGATCCTCCACATGATCCAGCAATCCCACTTCTTGGTATATACCCCAGAGGAATGGAAATCATCATGTCAAAGGGATACCTGCACTCCCATGTTCATCGCAGCTCTGTTTACAATAGCCAAGTTATGGAACCAACCTAAATGTCCATCAATGAACAACTGGACAAGGAAACTGTGGTATATATACACCATGGAATACTACTCTGCCATAAAAAGAATGAAATTCTCCCATTTGCATCAACATAGATGAGCTTGGAAAAACTTATGTTGAGTGAAATAAGCAAAGCACAGAGGGATAAATACCACATGTGCTCACTCATAAGCGGGACCTAAGAGAGAAAGAAGGAAAGAAAGAAAGTCCACAGTGGTGCGTTGGACTTGCAGAGGGAGAGAACAGACCTAGGGATACAAAGTGGAGTGGGGGAAAGGGGGTGGGGAGGGAGGTTGGAGATAAATGGGTGGGGGACATGGGGTATAATCACAATTTGTGGTAACGGGTATACTGTCAATATGGATCTGGCCATCACATTTGGGCATGAGTTGTGACAATCAGCTTGGTGTCTCATGAATACTCACAAGGAATAAATAAAATAAAATAAAATAATTCAGATAAGAACAAGTGTTGGCAAGGCTGCAGAGCAATTGGGACACCCATGCACTGCTCGTCGAAATGTAAAATGGTATAACCCTTTTGGAAAACAGTCTGGTAGTTCCTCAAAAAGCAAAATATGTAATTACCATTTGACCCAGCAATTTCACTCATAGACACACACCCAAAAGAAATAAAAACATACATTTGCCCAAAAACTTGTACACAAATGTTCATAGCAGCATTATTAATAATAGCCAAAATGTGGAAACAACCCTAATATGCATCTGCTAATAAATTGATACCATGTGGTATAGTCATGCAGTGAAATACTATTCCGTAGTAAAAAGGAACAAAGTATTGACACATGCTACAGTACAGGTGAACCTTAGTGAAAGGAGCCAGTCACAAAAGACCACATTTCATTCATATGGAATGTCTAGAATTGGTAAATCCACTGAGATGGAAAGCAGATTAATGGTCGCAAGGGCCAGAGGGAAGAGTGCTGATTTAGTTCAGAGTTTCTTTTTGAGATGATGAAAATGTTCTAAAATTGATTGTGGTGATGGTTGCACAACTCTGTGGATATACAAAAAAACCCATTGAACTGTACAATTTAAATGAGTGAATTGATTGTATGGTATGTGAATTATATCTCAATACAGCTGTTACTAAATAAATAAATAAATAAATAAATAAATAAATGAAGCACTTGATGCATAATTTCACATGAATGACCCTTCAAAACATTATGCTAAGTGAAAGAAGCCAGTCAAAACAGCCCGCATATTGTCTAATCCCATTTATGTGAAATGTCCAAAATAGGCAAATTCACAGAGACAGAAAATAGATTAGTTATTGACAAAAGGAGGGAGGGAAGTGAAGAATGGCTGCTAATGGACACAGGGTTTCTTTTTGGGGTGATGAAATGTTCTAAAATTGGGTAATGGTGATGGTTGCACAATCTGAAAGGTAGAATTTAACAGTACGTGAATTATATTTCGATAACGCTGTATATGCATAAAAACATAAAGGTAGAAAATTATAAAGCTATTCCTATTAGGTAGGAAAAATGTGTATGTAGAAGAGGAGATCAAGGAAGGAAGGAAGGGAGGGAGGGAAGGAAGGAAGGAAAGGAGAGGAAAAGAATGCAAGCTGAAAGATGCTATAACAAGGATGACCTTTATATGATTCACTTACATGAGATGTTTAGAATAAGCAAATTTATAGAGGCAAAAAGTAGATTAGTGGTTACTTAGGCTGGGGTGAGGGTAGAGAAAAACAGAGATTGACTGTTGATGGGCAGAGGGTTTCTTTTAGATAAAGATAGAAATGTTCTAAAATAAAATAAATTTAAATTTTTTAAATACTTTTTTTTGCACTTAATACTTTTATTACACAACAATACATGTAGGTTGGCACTTTTAAAAGCAATCTTAAAATGGTAACTAGAATAGCAGCTTGGGCATTGTAGGGCTAGCACCCGCCCAGTCATTGTTATCCTGTCTGGCAGTGGGGCCCGCGCATGGATGTATTTGATCATGACACTCTGAGGGCAATCTTGTGTTATGGGACTAAAATGGAACCCACTCTAAGATGGCCTGTGGACCAACAAGAAAGGAGAGGAGGAAGGTGTCTGCTACTTTATACTAAACTCCTACCCACCTTTTTGTAAAACTTGGCTACCTAGGCTGCCCCACTGGCGAAGGCAACACACTCTGTTTTACTAAAACAGTGGTCCAGCAGAAATTTAACGTGACTCTCTAGATAAACACTTCATGGGCACAGAAGATAGATTCTGTATTGGGAGAGCAAAGTTTCCAGACACTCTCTATACACACGTAAGCTCATCATGCACACATATGCACTTTCATTCCCTGCTGCTCTATGGCCTGCTGGTTCAAAGCAAGCTTGGGAGCAGTGCAGCATCTGTGACTGCCATCTATCCAAAACCATCTCCCCACTAGCAAGGCTGTCTGAAATTCCTCACACTGAATGCACTCATTAAGGTCTTTTTTAAGAAGCCATATGTGATAACCATGAGGCCATTTATATGACAGGAAGGATTGGGGGGAGGTGCTGGGGGCACCATAACATGTTAGCTGACTGTCCCATTACCACCAGGCAAAGCCTTGAGAGAATGCGTAGCAGCACTGGTGAGCTCTGTCGGGGGTCCAGATTAAGTCTGGAGTTTAAGGCCAGGAAAATGGGCCCAAGCAGAACTCCATAGAGGGGGATCTGATTGATCCGGGGATAGCTGGGGGTACTGGATGATGAAAAAGCACAATAGAGTGTGGAAATTGGGCATCACAGATAAATATTTGAATAGGGTGGCAGTGGTGGCTGAGAAACAGTCTTCCCCATACCATCTGTGACCAGTTGTAGCATTTCCCCCAGTGTCCTGGGGTGGAGGGAGAAAAGGATTTGGGTTGGTTGCTTGGTTGCTTTACAGCAACACAGTGATTTCATGCTTATGTCCTCACACCCCCATCCTCACCACCCTGCTAGATGGCTTTACTATCTGAGACTTCAATCACTTGTGACGTGATCTGGCTCCCCTTAGCCAGATCTGCAGTCTAATGGCTGGGCAAGCAAACCAGACCAAGCCTCCTAGATACGTAGGCCATCCTTACTGTATGAAACAGGCCTCCAGCTCCTCACTAGCAGTAGGCTCCACTTGTCAAGTTATTTTAGCTGTGACATAAACAGTTTCCATGATCTATCTGAACCTCTCACTCAGTGCTCTTGGGGAGTGGGGGGTGCACTTGCCATGCTTCAACCCACTGAGCTGTGCATCCCAGACAACAAGCAGGCAACACGGAAAGAAAAGGCCCTCAGACATGGCTGCATTGGCACTGGCTGCCAGCCCAGCCGCCACAGACAGGGAGCCCAAGAGTCCCTGGAACCAAAGATCCGCTGGTGATTTAGCTGCCAAATGGGGACCTAGACACAGCTGTCTGCCCCTTGTCCTGTTCCCATCTCCCTTCATCCCATCTGAGCTTACCTAGGCTGAGTTTGTTGACCTTCCTGAACTGGCTTCAGAGAAGAGATGTTAATACTGCTGCTGGACATGCCTGGTTTTAGCATCATCCCTCCCTGGTCATCATCAGACTCTCTTTTCTTCTTCTTGCCAAAAAAGGTCTTGAAGGATTTAAATTTAGATTTCTTCTTTCCTAGAAGAGAGAAATGGAAGTGAGGCAGAGTGTGATGGTGGAACGGGAGGCGGGAGGGGAGACAAGAGCTTCACGACAGGAACAAGGACTGTGATCCTAGCTGCCCTGCAGATCTTGGCCCTTGCCCAGTCCCCCAAGCCCCCAGCACCATTAATGAAGTTTGTTCTCCTCTTGTAACTCAGCAACAAAGTGTCTGAGTTGCTAGTGAAAGCAGAAGCCCAGGCCACAGCTTGTGATCTTTGGGCAGCTTCTATTTAGACCAAACTCACTCCACATTCACTTGCCTCTCAATTTCAACTACTAACACACACCCCTCTTCCCTTGTCTTAAGAAGTTCATTCGTGTGAAGCAATTATTGAGCCCACATAAGCACATGGTACCCTCTGACTCTACCCCAGTGGCTGGAGTCGTTGCAATCCAGTGGGGCAGGCAAGCTTCCACACATGAAAATCACTTCAGAACCCTTAGAAATCCCAGTGGGAGTTGATACTGCCAGCCTGCGTGCTGAAAGGGTGCAGACCTCAACGGTGGGTGCAGTTGATTGGTGCAGTCAGGGAACACTTCCTTGAGGAAGGAATTTATCAGCGAGGGAGGGGGCTGGGAATCAGAAGGAAGAACGGGCTGCCAAGCCAAAGAAGCTGCCTGTGTAAAAGGCATGTCAAAATCAGATACCAATGGGTTTTTCAAGGTGTGTGTGTGTGTGTGTGTGTGTGTGTGTGTGTGTAATGAGCATTGTGTGTGTAATGAGCATTGTGTGTGTTCTGCAACTACTGCCAATTGGTTCAGATTATCTACAGGGCTGCTGACCTCTACACATGCAGATAAATCAAAGTTTGCTCTGTCTATAATAACTACCAGGGCAGTGGTGAAGAATGTGAGCTTTAAATGATCCAAAGGCTCTGTCCATTTGGGCTTTCTTTAGTTTCCTATTAAGCCCTTATGCCTTTAGTGGGGCTCAGTAGAAGAGGAGAAGGGGGAAGGGGGATTTGTGCTATATTCTTCAGAGGGCAAGAATTGGCTTTTTTTGCTTATCACATGCTATAATTTACTAGCTTAGGTGTCTCATTCCAGTTCTCAACATTCTGGTCTCTGGAAGGCCTCATCAGCACAGTGCTGCACTGGCAGTAAAGGGTCCAGCCAAGGGAGTTGCCAGTGCAGCCACCATTATGAAAGTCTTGGTGGTATAAGGGAAAACACCAACCAAGAGTCAGAAAACTCCAGAATCCTGGTCTTGGACCTAATATCTATTAGCTCTGTGATCTTGGGTAAGTCACTCAACCTTTCTGGGACTCAGCAGGAAAATTAGGGGATTAGAACCTCCTGATATGTGTTCAGAGAGATGCTCATAAGATTTCTTGCATGAAAAAGGGATCTGCAGCCCAGTCAATCTGTTTATCACTGGATTAGACAAAGTTCAGTGGTGTGCTTTCCAACAACACTTCTCTGAAACTTCAAAATGCTTATGTGTGTGGAAAAGTTCCAAGAAACTGGGCAACAATGTTGTGTCCCAGATGCATGTAAGTAGAATGTCTGGCAAAACACACTTTGGGAAATGCTGAACTACAGTTCATTCTAGCTCTGAAATGCTAGAACCTATTTGTGTACTGATTATTCCTGGGCCTGACTATTAGAAACATTTCTAAACTCCAAGGCCTGCCTTCAGTCCAGATTCCCACCAGTCAGTACAATTCATGCTTCTCTTTTTCCTCTGAACACCTAAAACTTGACTGTTAGCACCACAAGTTTTGCATCTGAATGCTCTCTAGTCTGCTCATTCATTCATTCACTCATTCATCTATTCAACAAATATTTATTAAGGTTGAGCACTTACCATTTTCTGGGTATCAATGAGAAAGGAATAAGATACAGTCCCTATGTTTTAGCTACTGCCTCCACATGAAGGTTGCAGGCAGGCCCCCTTTAGCATCCCCCTTAGCAACTGGCACAGTGCAAGGCATGTGGTAATACTTGAGAGACAACTGAGTCCATTGAGGGGTGCAGAACTCCAACACAGCTTGTCACTTCCTTTGAAATGAGATAACTGAGCAAAATCATCCTTAAGCATCCTATAATTTAAACACTGGGCCTTATAGGGGTTGATGTTAATTGTAAATAACAAAGGTAAAGAGCTTAGCATAGGATCTAGCATGTAGTAAGTGCTCAATAAATGTGAGTTAGTATTAGATACTCATTAATAACTTGTTTATTAGAGACAGAGTCCATTCCATCTGCATTCATTAGAAGCAAATCCCATATCTATAACTCAATAGTGAACTCTAACATTTGCATAATTAGAAGCAGAAGCCAGCATGGGGAGAGGCAAGGGAAGACCATAGGGCTGTTTTGATAATTGCTGCTTGAGTAATTACTGTTTTGGATGACTTGGGCAATTTCTTTTCTTTTCTTTTTTTTTTTTAAAGATGACCGGTAAGGGGATCTTAACCCTTGACTTGGTGTTGTCAGCACCAAGCTCACCCAGTGAGCTTACCGGCCATCCCTATATGGGATCCGAACCCGTGGCCTTGGTGTTATCAGCACCGCACTCTCCCAAGTGAGCCACGGGCCGGCCCAACTTGGGCAATTTCTTATCTACTAGGATGTACCTATATAGAGTCACAGTTGGGAAAACTTGGCAATACTACCTAGAAAAAGAAAGAATAAAAAATGAAAATATAACAGGAAACATATTTTTTCACTAAGTTCCCTTCTTTAATTTTTTTCAGAAAAAAAATTTAATTTCTATCATAATAAATCAAAATATTTAAAATGATCTTTGACCTCACAGAACTACTGTGAAGATTCAATGTGAAAGTCCTGAAAAGTATACAGCACAGAGTAGGCTGGCTCTAAAACCATCTCTACTTTGTTGTTTGGCTTTCTATCTTTATCTCCCCACCCCCAACTGATTTCTAAAACTTATGAAATCAAGGCATTTTGTGCAAAATCCTGATTACTATAATCAGTTTCGTGCTGGAAAATGTTTAACAACTGGCTCTCGGGGAAAATGTCCTCATCTGTAGTATCTGCCTATTTCTGTGATGCAGATACTCCCACCGTGGCCAATTCGAAGCTACCAACATGACGTTTGGGAAGAGATGCACAGTTTCTCAAGCCAGTATGAGCCAGCTCCGACACACCACTAAATAATTCCCACCCAGGGAGGATGAACTAAGCAGACTCTTCTCATGAACAGGAAGAATCATGCAATATTTTAGCCTTTGGAGGCATTGCCATTTTCCAAACAGAAGGAATGAGGTTTATTAGATCCATCACAGATGGATCTCCTTTTGGCCTTCTGAAAAGGGAACAACTTTATCCTCAGAGGATTTAAAAAATAGTGATTGTTGCTGCTCTTGCTTCAAAATCCCAGAATGGAAGGGAGGAAGGCAAAGCTAGAGGATTTGGAGTTGCAAACCTGTGTCTCGTAAGCAGCAAAGACAAAGAGAGGAGAGTTGGCAGCTGGTAGCTCCCCTGGTGACGCAATCTATAAACACCAAATAGCTAAATAAAAACACTTCTAATAAACTCTTCAGGCTGTAAAACTGAATTTACCAAACATAATCATTGTATGAGCAGACAAAATTATGCATTAACACATTTTTATGTTCCTAAATTAACAATATCACTAGTGACTTTAGAACTGTAATAGGTGATAAAAAATTAAGGATGCATATAATCCAATTTTCCCTCAATTTCCCATTCTTTGCTGGGCAGAAACAACTCGTTTTTCCACGAGGATTCAAAATACCTTAAGCAATGTGTGTCTCTTTCAACCATGAGCACTAGAAGGAAACAAATGTTTCCATTCTGACCTGTGGGGTAGCTCTGAGTATGGTAGTGGTATAGCTTTGTTAGCAAGGAGTTGGGGAGACACCAAGAGATGATAATTGCCAAACATGGTGAGTTGGCCGCTTGTTGATCTAGGCAGTGACTTGGAAGCTGGATACAGCCTCAGCGAGCAACCGATTGCCAGACATACAATGTCACCTGCAAGAGTCTATGTCATCAGCCTGCCTTTGATTAGGAGACCTCCCTACCCACAACTGCAACAGACCCCCATGTGTGAGAGGAGCGCTGGACTCAGCCCTGGGAGTGAGATACAAAGTTGGGTACCTCCCAAACACTATGTTACATTTGAAATCCTAATGGAATCCAAGATGGTTGCTATACATTCAAGTGTATAAATTGGCCTTACAAGCTTTCTTTTTGTAAGGGATGTTTTTAAATTGCCAGCAGCTGATCCCTGCACAGGTGGGTTTTCAAAAGTTACTAAAAGTGCACAGGGTAGCTAGACCTAGACAGCAAGTATGGGTCAAAACCCATATCTATACCCAGCACCTATACACTGGGTAACTTATGCCACCACAGGGTATAGCACTTATGGTCAATGAGCTGATAGCTGAGAGCTGACAGCTGTCTGGACTTCTCCTAAAGCAAGGCCATTGATTTCCCTCTCCAAGCCCAAGGAGGATGCATTCCCAAACAGCAAGTAGCTTTCAACATCCTAATCTAGTGAGGGCCTGCAGTGTATCACATGCTAGAAAAGAGCCCATTGAAGGCAGTTTTATTCCCCCAGAGAAGAAAACACGGCTAAATCCAATGAAGAAATTGTTGCTTCTGGGTTGTATATTTGCTTATCCACCATGCACAGGGGGAGCCCATCTGGGTTGAACTTAATGAACTTTAAAGACACGTTGCATAATGATGATCTTGTTCTCTTGCATTGCTGCTTGGAAAGAAAACATTTCTAACTAACATTTCTTCTCTTCAGCCTCCCAACAGCCACCTTATTCTCTGGCCAGCACTGACTGGCTCTAAGAATGTACACAGATATCTGATCTTAAAAAAAAATCTTGAGAACAGAGAAAAGACATTTCCTTACCTCCACTCTTCATCAACCTGTACCGCACTGCCACCTTCTTTTGTAGACATCTGTCTAGCTCATATCCAAAGAGATAGGTCAGTTGGTTTCGTAGCCAGGTCTGCCTTGGTGAGGAGGCCTTCCTTTCATTCATTTATTCATTTATTCAATTAATAAATATTTTGGAGTGCTTAATCACTCTCTATGAGTCCCAATACTAAACAATGGTAACATCGAGATGAAAAAGACCCAAGCACTGCCCTCAAGGATCATGACCAGGCTCAGCACACCCTACCCCATATCAGCAGTGAAGTCAGAACTCCAGGAAGCCACAAGGAGGCCCCCCCTCTCAGTCCTTTTAGACCGAGTCTTCTGCACCATACACTACTAAAGAAAACTCAGCAAAAAATTTTGAAGAGCAACCCAATTAACTATTAAATTTAGTTCTGAATTTTAACTCAGTGTCTCACTTTGTGTCTTATGGTTTCCTTTTTTAGTGTGTGTGCATGTGTGTGTGTATCAGTAAAGCTTATCACTGTTTAGTGACTTTTGCCTCCTTTCTATTATTCCACTCATGGTCATCTATCACTCATAGATGCCATCACAATTTAGGCAGTGGATAAACATCTAAGTAAGTTTTGCAAAAAAGAGTTTCTGTAAATTGAATCCTATTTAACAGAAGACTGTAGTGGTGTCTTTTGTACTCCCCAAATTATAAATTCATCTGTTGGTTAAATTTGGATAACTATCTACAGAAAAACTTCGGTTGAATCTGTCAGATCCTGGTCTGTTCTAACTGTTTTTTTTTTCTGATTAAGCAGAAATACTTCCGCATTAGTAAGCAGAACCTGGTAACCACCTCTAAAGAAGATTGCAGGGCCTCAGACAAACCTTTTGACTATTAGAGCTGGATGACAGAGAAGAGTTAGAAAACTGAAAGTAAATATGGAGTAAGTCAAATTTTATCAAAAATTTGATGTGAATGTGTTTTCTTGTGACTTGGTTCTTTTTCCTAAGTGCTAAACACAGTAAACAAATCAAGTTCTGGTTAGTAAGGTTTTATTGGGTTACTCACCGTCGTCAATGGCCTCCAGACCTTCCACACTACTAGAAATTTCACTTGGCAATTCAGCCATGGCAGGATGACTAAAATAAAATACAGAGCAAAAAATCATCATTTGACATCCAGGACATAACAAAATCATTCTACCCTAACCTCAGGTATATTCTTAAACCATTCAAAAAAATAGATATACAGATGGAATTTTCATTAGGGAGAACTATCCTTTAAAAAAAAAGGCAGTGATTCCATTTATGTGAAACGTCCAGAACAGGCAAATACACAGACACAGAGAATGTCTTAGGACTGGGGGGAGTGGGTTTTTTGGGGGGTGACAGAGTATAGGGTTTCTTTGTGAGGCAATGAAAGTGTTCTAAAATTGGTTGTGGTGATGGTTGTACAGGTCTGTGAGTAACTGCCATAAAAAAGAATGAAATTCTGCCATTCACAGCAACATGCATGAACTTGGACAAAATTATGTTAAGTGAAATAAGCCAGGCACGGAAAGAGAAATACCTCATGTCCTCACTTATATGTGGGAGCTAATAAAAAAATAAGTAAACAAATAAATTTTTAAAAAGATACAACAATCACAATAATACATTGAACTTTTTAAGAGAAGAAATCAGAAGTGAGGCTGCTGGGGGTGGGAAAGGGGGGAGGTAGGAGGGGAGGGAGGAATTGGTAAAGGGCCACGAAATCAAATGCATCGTATATTGATGAATTAAAAACAAAAGCATTGAAATGTACACTTTAAATGTGTAAACTGTAGAGTATGTGAATTATATCTCAACAAAACTGCTACCAAAAAAGACAAATGTAACAACAGGCCTGTTACTATTCATGGGTGTGCCCAGACATACAAAACTGCCTTGATAAACACCCAAAACCATAAAGAAAAAGACTGAGAAATTTGACTACATAAAACCTTAAAACTTTGGCCCAAAAAATAAGTCAACAAGAGAATGACAAACTAGAAAACAATACTTGCAACCAACATAACAGATACAGGGGCCAATTTTCTTCATTTGTCAAGAGCTCATATAAATCAAAAGACAGACAGCCTGGTATAAAAGGGAGCAAAGGATACAAAGGCAGTTCTCAGAAAAAGAAATACAATAGCCAATAACCACATAAAGAGAGGCTCAGTCCCACTGGTAATTAACGAAACATAAATCAAAGTATCAAACTAACATTATCATCTACACATTGTCAAAAAGTTTTAATTTTGATGATATCCCATTGCTGATGAAGGTGAAGGAAATGGGGATTCTCATACACTATGGAGTTTAAATAGCTCTAACTCTCTAAAGAGCAATTTGGCAATATCTATCAAAATTAAAAATGCACATACCTTTTAATTCAGGAACATCACTGCTAGAACTTTACCCCATAGATACACTTGTAGACAAAAATATACATGCAAGAACATTCAGCATAGCATTATTTTAAATAGCTAAAAATGGGCACCAGCCAAAGTGATCATGAAAAGGATAATTCTCCCATGACTTGTGTCATGCTTCTAGGGATGTATGCCAGTTGATAATCAAGCCTTTATAAATCAATGCTGACATTTTTCATGGGAGTTTGTGCGGGAGGAGGACAGGGAGCTCTGATAAGCATCTCACCCAGAGAAAGGGTGCTGTATTCATACACAGCAGGAAGGCTGTACAGAGGCAAGCAGAGACTTGCCCCATGATAGCCCCTCTTGGGGTCTTTTTATTTGTCCCTTAGGGTCTTGATGTGACCAACTGAATATAGTCAAGTGGGGTTAAGCAGGTTTTGGAACCCCCTGGTCCACCTCAGGTCTGCTTTGCTCTCAGACATAGCCAAGCTCCCTTTGCTGTTTCATGGATGGACTCCAGGCCCATCTTTCCCTGCTCTCTCGTGATAAATCTCGTGATAAACCTGATACATCTCTAGAGGTAGAGAGGGGTGACCATAGGCTGTCAGGGTAAGAAGAACCTGAGAGTTCAAATAGCCAGAATGACTGAGGCCTCGAAGAGCAAAATGTTCCAAACCACAATGAGCTGACAAGGTTGTGATGTCAAGATGGCTTTAGACCCACTTACTGAGATTCCCTATGGTTCCCCACCATGTGTGTTCTCCCTCACGGCGATGTAACCCAACTTGTTCAACAACAGGGATCCTGGCTGAAAGGTACTGATACTTTGTTCAAGTCAATCAACCTCCATGAGCCAATATTACAAGTCTGCCTAAAGATGACAGAGTCCCAGGCCCACACGGTGCTCATTAATTATCACACACACACAGAGGCACATATGCACACACATACACTTTGCCCTTGGCATTTCTGCCTCTACTATTTTTCCAAGTTCCATCTGGAGATCTGGCAGGAATAAAAAAGTAAGGAAATCCAGAAGCCCCTCAGAAATTCAGAGGGAAAACAGGAGCAATTCACATCACTGTTAAGTTCCTGGGCCACCTTAATAAATATGGCAGCACTCCCCACCCCCGCCACTACGGAAGCCTTTTTAGACACTGGGGAATAAACTATCTCTGAGCTTTAGAGAAGCCCATGGAAAAGGAGACTGTTATCCAAAATGCCAGGCCACAGCAGGCTAACATAGCCCTGACCTATCGCTGTCAGCGGTTGAAGAAGGAAGGGAAACAACCACTAAAGAGAAAAATCTGAAAGACAAAAGAGAGAACAAAGAAAGGGCATTTTGGCAGCATCTGAAGCCCCAGAGCACTAACAGAACATTTGAGTTAACCCTTGAGTGTAGACTGTCTGATATTCTTTCCTGCATACCTGCTTTATTTCCCCAACCAAATTGCAGAGGCCCTCAGGATACCCCCACCAGCTGCCAATCAGTTGGAACATGTGGAACTGTCTCCCCTCCTAAACAAACCAGCAACCCCAACAAAACACACAAACCTCCCCTTGATTTCAAATCCTCTTCCTGTTACCACCCCATTTCTCTGCATCTCTTACAGTAAATCTCAAGAGTTATCTATACTCACAGTCTTTACATCCTCACTTCTCATTCTCTTGAGCTCTCTCCAGTCAGGCTTCCAAACCGAACTGTTCCCAAACCACTCCACTAAATCCAGCAGCCAGTTACTGGAACTTCCAGCAGCATCTGATACCACTGATCACTCCCTCCTTTTTTGTATAATTTTATCACTTGACATTCAGAACACCACACTCCCCTAACTCTCCTCCTACCTTATCGGCTGTTCCTTCTCGGTCTCCTTTGCTGGATTGTTCTCCTCTCCCTGATTTTGAAATGTTGTAGCACCCTCGGGCTCTGTCCTTGGCCCTCTTCTTTTTTTTTTTTTAATTTTTAGTTTTTAATTTTTATTTTTTATTGAATCATAATTGATTATACATATTTTGGGGGTTCAACGTTGACATCTGTTGATCAAATCAATAGTACTAGCATATACAGTGTTACAAATCATACTTATTCTTTATATCCCTTGTCCAATCTCTCCCCATCCACCTCTCCCTCCCCTTCCCCCCTCTGATAACCCTAGATTTCTTCTCTCCTTCTGAAAGAGTAATGTTTACTCTGTTGATTTGTTGCCTAGATGATCTGTCCAATGCTGAGAGGTGTGATGAGGTCCCCCAATATTATCATAGAGCAGCTGCTTCTTCTGTCACTCTGGAATGGACTTTGTGGAGAGAGACACCCTCTTCTTTTCTTTGGTCTCTGCTGGTGACTCTCCTTGTGTCAATGCACTCCAATGGCTGGTGGACCATCTGCATGGCGGTTGTGGCATCTAGCCGCTTTCACAGCAGCCGTGGTTATTGTGGTAGCTGTGTTGGACCACCCACATGAAGGTGACGTTTTTGGCGTGCTCCTTGGTGCTGGTGGTGTGCCTGGTTGTGGGGGGGGCAGTCCCCGGCTCCATACCCCAGGTCCCAGGGCACTGACCCTCTTCTTTATCTACAATCATTTCCTAGACCAGTGCCACTAAATAGAAACGGTAATGTGAGCACAATGCAAGCCACAGATTTTAAATTTTAATTTTCTAGCAGTAATTTTTAATTTTCTAGTAGTCAAATTTTTAAAAGGAAAAAAATTAAACAGTGAAATTACTTTGATTATTTTGCTTAATCCGATATAACTAGAAATATTATTATTTCAACATGTAATCACTATAAAATAATTTTAATGACATTTTCTGTTCTTTTTCTTTTTCACATGAAGCTGCCACATCAGTCAGGTCAGCCCCAAGCTCAACTTCCCCTCCTTCCCCCCTGCCAGTGGCTTGCCAGCAAGCTCAGAGTAAAATTGCAGCCCCTTACCATGGGCTTTATGTGATCTGCCCCACTTGCATGCCCCACTGATGACCAATCCTGCTACCCTCTCACTTTGTCCCTCCATTCTAGACTCATGGGCCTTCTTGGTAATCCCCAACACACCAAACCCCTTTCAATGGCAGGAGCTTTGCATCTGCTGCTCCTTCTGCCTTGTCTGTCTCCTCTGCTAGAATCTAAATTCCACAAGGGCAAGGGCTTTGTCTATTTTGTTCATCACTGGATCTCCCAGCACCTGGGTCTCCCAGTACCTGCAATGGAAGAATCACAGGATTCACTGTTGGATTTGATGTGATGTGTGAAGGGAATAGCAGGCACTTGATAAATATTTGTTGAAGAAATGCATAAATTCGATAAAAGAGGAAGTAATCTAAGAACCACCTCTATGGTCAGAAATTTCTTAGAAGTAGAGAGGTGTGCTATAGGAGGCAGAGGAAGACCTGTCCTAGGAGAGGAGTCCCCTTGTTTCCCAATTTAGCGGGACCTGCCATCCCGCCTAGCAAGGTGGGCTCCACCCCTGGGTTATTCACCTGTGCAGAACCAAGCACCCCTGGGCCCTCTTGTCCTTGATGCATAGAGTCCATTCCCAGGTGTTCCAGCCACGTGGGCCCTGGGCATGGAGCCCATTCAGCTGGGCTAGGTCTGCATCCTCACAAAGAAGAAGATTCCAGCAACAGAAACCCTGCCTCTTCCCACTCTATAGACACCACTACTGACAGAACTTTCCTTCCGCCCTCAGGCTGACCTTATAAACAGAGCTTTGCTTCCCAAGTATCTCCTCACAGAGA